TGTTTTCCCCTCACACTTCCCCCTTTTTCCACTCACACTTTCCCCATTTTCCCCTCACATCTCTCTTGTTTTTGCCTCACATTTCCCCCTCACACTTCCCCCATATTTTTCCCTCACACTTTGCCTCATTTTCCCCTCACACTTCCTCCATTTTCTCCTCTCACTTTCCCCATTTTTCTCTCACATTTCCCCCATACTTTTCCCTCACATTTCCCATATTTTTTCCTCACATTTCCCCCTCACGCTTTCCTCCATATTTTCCCCTCACACTTCCCCCTTTTTCCCCTCACATTTCCCCCATATTTTCCCCTCACTCTTTCCCCCATTTTCCCCTCAAATCTCCAAATTTTACTCCACACTTTTAAGACTCTGCCCTTTTTGTGCAGTCACATTCCCCCATTTTCCCCTCAAATCTCCAAATTTTACTCCACACTTTTAAGACTCTGCCCTTTTTGTGCAGTCACAGGATTCAGTCCCATTGGCTGCAGGGCCCTGGGATAATCAGGAATTGCAGGATATAATCGTGGATCCCTGTTTATTCCTTTTCCTGATTATTTTTTATGGGTTCTATCCCTTCCCAGCAGCTCCAGGTGCTTCCAAAAGAGCCAGGGACCAATTTAATCTCCCATTCCCATCCCAGCTAAAACAGAAAATAGATGAGGCAAAATATTTTGCTCTCATATGCAGAAAAATAAAGCTAAAACTCGAATTTTATGGTCACATAAATGTGACATCTCCAGGTTCAATCCCTGGATCAGCCCCATTCACTGATGGAGCCTTTTTGCTGCTGCTTCTCTTTAAAAACCTTGTCCCAGTTGAAAATTTAAACTCTTTCCTTGTCATCATTTACATCCAGCCGGGAGTGGAGTGTCTGGCCTCAAGACTCTGGAGCCCATCAATCATCTCAGGTGCCTTAATTTCAAATTTTACACCCTCAGAGGTGTCTGGGGAGGGGCTCTGAAGTGCTGCTCACCTTACACCAACTCCCAGGCTCCTTCTGTCCCTCTCCTTCTTGTCAGAGCTACTGAAAATCATTTAAAAAACCGAAAATCACTAAAAAGAAATGTGCCAGAAGTGGCTTCACAAATTCCCTTTATTTCAAGGCTTTTCAAGTGGTTCCTGCTTGTCACAGCACGCAAATGGAGCTGTTGCTGGTTTGCTAAAATAAAAAAAAAAAAAATCAAATCTATTTCCAAGCACTGGGAGCTGCAAATCTTCCTCCTTCTGTTGCAGACCTGACGGACACCAGAATAACTTGAGGAGTTCTGCCTATGAATCGCTGATGGAAATAGTGAAAAACAGTGCCAAGGACTGTTATCCTGCTGTCCAAAAAACCACCCTGGTCATCATGGAGAGGCTCCAGCAAGTGCTGCAGATGGAGGTGGCTAAATCCCGATTTAAAACGGGGAAATTGTGGTTGTTCCCTCCCTGGGAGTGTCCAAATTCAGGGATGGTGGGAGGGAATGGATGGGATTTAAGGTCCCAAACCACTCAGGGATTCTATATTCAGCTTCTTCACAGCCCCTGTGCTCTGAAATCTGAAAAGAACAAATATTTAAAGTACAACCTGGCTCTCCCTGGAGCTGCCAGGATCCCAGGCAGCCTCTTCACATGCAGGGTTTTGTTCTTGTTTCAGTCTCACATCCAGAGCACCTCTGACAGAATCCAGTTCAACGATCTCCAGTCCCTTCTCTGTGCTACTCTCCAGGTAAATTCCTCTCTCTTGGGTTTGTGGTGGGAATAAAGTGATTTTTGAGGTGTTTTTGTCCCCCCTTGGAGCTCCAACCTCAGCTGCTGGTGCTGAGAATTGAATGGAAAAAGTGGATTTTGGGTCCCAGCTGACACGTGGGAGGTGATGCAAGGTTCAGGAGTCTCTGAGTTGTGCTCTGGTGACAAAATTCAGGGCAATGTGACTCGAAGAACGCTGGTGGGGATTTTATAAAAGATTGTCTGTGCTGTCAGGTTGGTTCTTGGGTTGGCCACAGCCTCGACAATCCCACAGACAGCAACAGCACCAATAAAAAAAATTCCCTCGCTGCTTTGATTCCTTCATCTGCCTCTCGTGCTTGGTGCTCCTGATCCAAATGGCACCAATTAAAATGTTCTGAGTGTCCTCAGAATTCCCAATTAAACATCTGCTAATGAGCAGGAGCCACCAGTGCAGTGCTTGCTGCTTCAAACACCACTCAAAAAAAGTTTTTTTTTTTTTCCCAAAAAAAATCAGCTCAGAGCAACCCAGGTGGTCTCCAGGTTAATGTGAGAAATCCTTGATTTCATCCTCAAAAGCTTTGTGGGTTTTTTTCACTCTCCAGTTTTAGGGTAATTTTTGAAAATAGTGGGAAATGGGAATAATCTGTTCTTAGGAAGAGTTTTAATGTGGAATTTTCTCCCTGGAATCTCACATGGTGGGTGCTGATCCCTGCCAGGGGAGGGGAGTCCAGGTGGGATTAAGCTGCCAGTTTTAATTTCTAAATGTGGTTTTTTATTATCCCAGAACCTGAACCTGAATTTTTTTACTCAGTTGCAGCAAATACTTAAAAACCACCGAGTAAAACTCGGCAGAGGGGCTTTTTTTCACTATTAAAAAAATCAAATATATTGGTCTTTTACCTAAAGTTTTTGTTGTTTTGCTGGAAATACAAACATCCAGCAGAGGGAAAAACATTTGTTAATATTTAAAATCGAGTGAGAAAATCCCATCCCTGGAAGGAACAGTTTGGTTTAGTGGAATGTGTTCCTGCCCATGGAATTTGGGGATTTTTAAACTCCCTTCCCACCCAAACCATCCTGTAATTCCATAAATCAAGTCTTAATTACATAAATAGCCAAAGTCCATCTTTGTGGAGGGAAAAATGAAACTTTGAATAATTACTTTCCTCAGAAAATTAAGGATTCTTTCTTCTTATGCTGGGAATTGTTGTATTTTAACCGCTTCAAGCATTTCTAAACTTAAATTCAGAAGCCAAATTTCAACCCCTACAAGCTCAGCTGTGACAGGGAAAAAAAAAAAAACCAAAAAGAATTTCATTATTATGTTTTTTTTAATAGGCTAAATTTGAGCTGGTCACATTTAATTCCAGCTTACAAATGGCAAAGCTTTGAGAACAGCCCATGCAGCAGGAAAGGGAAATTCAGCTGGAAAATCTGAATGCAGCCAAATGAACGGGACTTTGCAGCCACAAAAAGCAGATTTTTTTGGCAGCAAAAGAGTTCAGACAGCAACTCTTTCATCCTTATCTCAGCTCCCAGGGTGAGGGAATGTTTTATCTGTAGGATGAACAGTGATTTTTTGCCCATTTTCCATGATTTTTCCCTCAGAAGGTGCCAC